GGAGAGGTGTCCTGGGTGGAGAGGGCTGTCCAGGGACACTGCAGAGAGAGAGACGGCAGAGAGCAGAGCCACGTCCTGGAAGGTCGGGGCTGCTGTAGGGCGCGGGGCACACAGAACATGCCGCAGCCGGTGCTGAGACCCGGGCACACGTGGAAGATGCCAGCAAGGGCGGGAGGGGTGAACTCTGCAGGGCTGTGGGAACGAGCAGAGGACACGGGAGCCGAGGAGTGAGCAGGGAGCAGAGCCCGCTTCTCATTCTCGCTTATGGACCAGGGACCATGGAGAAAGGTCTGGGTCTCACGCCTACCAGTGAGGATGCGGAGGTGGGAGGGTCAGGCTGGAGAGGCTTGGGGACAAGCAGGTGCCCAGCCTGACCGCGCGTGTGTCCCTGATCTGATGCCTCCAACCCCCCAGGTGTTAAAGAGCCACGGACAAGACTACCTGGTTGGCAACAGGCTGAGCCGGGCCGACATTCACCTGGTTGAACTTATCTACCACGTGGAAGAGCTTCTCCCCGGCGTCACCGCCAGCTTCCCTCTGCTGAAGGTGATCAGTGTCACTGTCTCGCAGCCCCCAGAGAGGCAGCCCCACAGCTCCCATGAGGGAACGTGGTATTGGGGCCCTTGGACTGGTGACATTCAGACCCCAGCCTCCACCAGGCTGGCACTGCCCCCAGGTCTCCAAAATGAGCTTCCAGGCCCTGGTTGTGAGGCATGAAAAGATGCTTGCTATGGCATGGAAATTTCAGGGGGTGCGACCCCAATAAGAATATTTTACCTTTTGCAATGGAAAGGACCCAGAACCCAGCATCTCCCCGACTCCCATTCCATTGCAGTCTCTGTGCCCGATTTCTCTGGGAGTCCCTTCATCCCAGGGGTGCCCCTATCGTCCCACACTGAGTCTGTCTGAGCAGGTCTCTTTCCATCTGGTTTCCTTCCCTGGGCCCCGTCCCCTGCCATGGGACCTTGTGTTCCTCTCTGCCCAGGCCTCCCCTGTACACTCCTGCCCACCCCCCTCTCCACCTCTCAGTGGGAAAATTGCTCTGACTGGCCCCAGGGTTTGCCTTCATTATCTTGTGTCTTCCTTCCCAGCTCAGTTTTCCCATATCTTCATTTCTCCTCGTATCTTCATTTCTCTGGTGTGTGTTCCCAGCCGCCACACTGGTGCTGAAGGAGGGGACGCGGTCTGTGTGTAGAGTGGCAGGGCTCCGATTTCCTAGGTTGTCTGATAATTGCTTTGGTCTTTGGGCTGCACTCTGAGCCTGTGATCTGTGCATTGCAGGCCCTGAAAACCAGAATCAGCAACCTCCCCAGTGTGAAGAAGTTTCTGCAGCCTGGCAGCCAGAGGAAGCCTCCCATAACTGCGGAAGCTTTAGAAAAAGCAAGGAAGGTTTTCAAGTTTTAAAAAAGCAGGCAGGGAGGAGAAGCCCGTGCAAGACCAATAATCTCTTTGCACCAACAAAGTGCTGAGGGTGGCTATTGTGAAGCCAATAAACGTTTTCAAATTATGTACTCATCAAATAAAAATAACTCTTATGCACAAACTTAGTTAAAATTCATTCTTTTTCATTAGGATCTGATATGAAATCAGATTTCCAATGTGTTCCTGACCTGCCTCTTTCTTGGAATTAAAACCTTGGTGCAAAAGGAAAATGTAGATTATGTGGTTTGTTTGAGTTTTCCAGAAATTGTGCTGTGCCATTTGTCATGTAGACTGTCAAAAAAGTCAAGTGCAGAAATTTACATCTGACAGTTTCAGGCATGCAGTGGAAAAGAGTCACCATTCTGGGGATCAGCATAGCGAAGTTTTCTTCTTATCTTGGAGAGTCGTGTTATTTCTGATAACAAAAGGTTCTCTCTCATGCATTTTCAAACAGCTGTTATGGCTGTGGACTCTTCAGTGCTCCAGGAGGGGAACACGACAGAGAACACAACAGACCCGCCCTCTGCTCCCAGGCCCCCCTGCTGTCCCTGACCTGCAGGTGCACAGGGCACACCCTCACTGTGCTCTCTAGCCCCGCGTGGGGCCCTGGACATGTGCGTCCCTCTCATTTCTCTCGGTGCCGCTCAGGCCTGGGCTTCCCAGATGCGGACTAGACATGTGAATTACATACAAATCATACAGTGAAATCATACTTTCCCTGTTTGTCACCATGCCAGAGTGCTTGAGTTAGGAGCCAGTTCTAGGTTCAGGCCCATGCTGGGTCCACAATGCTGGTGTCCCCAGGGGGTCTGGGCTGTGCACACTGAGCCCTCCTGCTCTCAGGGGGAACCCCCCCCCCCGCAGTGAGAGGGGGTGAGGGGCAAACAGACTCATGGGGCTCCCTGACTGCTGCTTCCCTTCCCTGTAGTCTCCTCTCCACTGACAACCAGAGTTATTTTTCTAAAATACAATCTAAGCATCACCATCTTTCTGTAATTCTCCAATGAGTCCCCATTGCAGGCAGAATGGGTCCTGTCCCCCTCCTCACCCCCTGGTCTCCAGCCATCACCCCCAGAGTGTGGCGGGGCTTCTTGCCTTCCTGCCTGATCACATTTGCCAGCCCTGCCTGACAAGCTCCTTCCCACCTGGCCACACTTCCCTCCCTACCTTGTGGCCTCTCCTCTGCCCTCCACAGAGCTCTAGAAGCCTCTGTCGACACTCGGGGCCACTGTGTCCGCTCCTGTCCTGTGAGCTCCAGCGGTGGGGCATGGCCTGCTGGGTCCCCAGGGCTGCATCGCCAATGATGTGACACTGCTCAGCTCCACGTGCACCTCCAGGACCTTGGACCCCAGTGTGGGCTTGGAGAGCTCACAATCCCCCGCACACTTGTGTGACTCCATTTCTACAAAGCACGTTATTCACTTCACTCAAATGCTATGTACGGACCTTGCTTGGATGCCGAGGAAAATAAACCTACTGCAAAGAAACCTGCATGGTGGATTAGAATGCTGAATATTTGATGAAATTAAGGAATTATGCAATTACAGTATGATAAGAGAAAATAGTGTGATTATGTTTACAAAAGAAATGCTT